GGGCCGCAATGAAGTGTCAACTCTGGGGAAGCTCCTAGAGCTACTTAATCTACTGAGAACCTCATGACAGTGAATACTTTTATTTTTCCCAAGGCGGGGGCACTTTGGGGCCCCTATTAGTCTAATTCTATAGTCCCCAAATTCCATCTGCCTGGGAATTCGCAATCGTCACAAGGATTTCACAAAATCATGAACTAAGACTGACAGGGACTCGAGCGATCAATTATTTTTAGTGCCCCCTCTGAATTTCAGCCACCATGGACGTGTGGCGTGGGAGGGACGGTGGTAATGAAACAGCTTGCCCGTGACCGCATGTTCTGTGTGAGACCAGACCTAGGACCAGCCCCCCTACGGTACAAATTTGACCTTAAATGAGTGTATAAAGGAAAGTAGCCTTAAGTATTTACTTCAAAAGTATTTTGGGGGTGACCTTTGTGATTTTTTTTTTTTTTTTTTTTTTTGGTGGTGGTGGGGAACAAAGTCTCCTTTCAAACACTTCTCTTTCCCTCCAGCTTAATTTCCAAAATACATCTCAGTGTGCATGCAGGAGGGAAAAACCCTTCATCCTGAAGTCTTCACTACCTTCCTTTTAAAAATACTACCTTCCAATGCCAGAAAATTGTTAGATGTCATATCCTCTACTGGCTCATTTTTTTCCCCTTCTAAATTAATTTAAGAAATTCATACAGGGGCACCTGGGTGGCTCAGTCAGCTGAGTGGCCAACTCTTGATTTCGGCTCAGGTTACGGTCCCAGGGTCATGGGATCGAGCCCAGCGTTCTGGTTCCACATTAAGAGCCGAGCCTGCACAAGATTCTCTCTCTCCCGATGCCCCTCCCCTGCTCATGCTCTCTCTCTAAAATAAAAATTAAAAAAAAAAAAAGATAGAAATCATAAACTGCTGGTTTAGTTCCCTCTTCGACCTGAACCTTGGCAGGGCAGGCTAGGACTCAGCCTTGAAAGGGAATTTACGCGATGACTGTCTGGTCAGGATGCCTTCTTCCTGCCTTGCACCCTTTCCTTCTCTCCTCCAATCCTCCTGCAATTTCCATGAAGCCTGGTCCAACTCCCCTTCCAGGCTAAAATGCTGTTCTCCCTTTAAAAACAGTTGCAGCATTTTATTGTGGCTTTTATTACACATTATCAGTCACTTGTATTTTCTTAATTGTATTTAGTTATGCAAGTAATATAGAAATCAATCCAAACTGTAAAATTTCAAATGTTGTAACAATGGTTACAGATGGGTATGAATAATTGTATGACTAATCTCTTCCTTGACAATTCCTCCAGTCCTTGTCTCTTTCTGTGGGTGTCTTTCCATCCCTCCTATCTGCTTTTGTATGTATTTGTACTTATGGAAACACATACTATTATTATTATTATTATTTTTAATATTTTTATTTATTTCTAGGAGAGAGAGAGACAGCGTGAGCAGGGGAGGGTCAGAGAGAGAGGGAGATACAGACTCTGAAATAGGCTCCAAGCTCTGAGCTGGCAGTCAGCACAGAGCCCGACGCGGGGCTCGAACCCACGAACCGCGAGATCATGACCCAAGCGAAAGTCGGACGCTTAACCGACTAAGCCACCCAGGCGCCCCGTATTATTATTATTTTTAATATAAATAGTCCCTTACAGTATGTATTGTTCTGCAGTGGCTTTTTTCTTTAATAATATGTTTGGGTGACCTTTCCGTCTCAGTATATACAGACTTCCTTCATTCTTTTGAACTGTTGCTTAATTATCCAGTAGTAGATGGGCCATGAGTTAGCCATTCCCTATGATGGCCATTAGGTTGCTTTTAGTTCCCAAACCACCAAAACTCTGCAGTGGGAGGGGGTGACATGATCTGTGCACGTCTGTGCCTCCTTCTGTCGGACATGCACGAAGAAATGGAACGGCTGGGTCACAGAATGTGCACATTATTAATTTTAACAGTGCCAAACTGCCCTCCAAATTGGCTGTATCAGTTTACACGCCTGTTAGCAGTGCAAGAAAGCACCCGGTGCACTCAGTTTCTCACTCAACTTGCCAAGATTAATTATTTTACCTGTGTATATATTTTATCTCCCAGGCTTAGGATGTAAGCTCTCCGAAAGCAGGGCCCATGACTCCCCATATCTGCATTTCTTCCCCCATCCAGAGGTGTCTACTAGTTGGTGCTCAATAAATGTTTGTTCAATGATCTCCAACCATACGTTCTTTGCTCATCTCTGCACAAAAAAGCATTTACCGAAGGTGCATCTTTGAGGTTATTTCTTTTTACTTTTTTTTAAGTTAAAAGTTTTTTTAAGGTTTTATTTATTTATTTTTGAGAACATCAGAGACAGTGTAAGCAGGGGGGGGGGGGTGGAGAGAGAGAGAGAGAGAGGGAGAGAATCCCAAGCAGACTCCGCTCTGCTAGCACAGAGCCTGATGTGGGGCTTGAACCCACAAAACTGTAAGCTCATGACCTGAGCCAAAAACTAAGCGTCGGATGCTTAACCCACTGAGCTACCCAGGCACCCTTGAGGCTATTTCTTAAGAATGAAAAACATTTTTTTAAAAAGTTGCGTATGGGGTGCCTGGGGGGGTTCAGTGGGTTAAACGTCAGACTATTCATTTCGGCTCAGATCACGATCTCACGGTTTGTGAAATTGAGTCCAGCCTCCTGATCCTGGCTGACATCGGGAAGACTGCTTGGGGTTCTCTCTCTCTGTCTCTCTCAAAAAAAAAAAGTTGGTTGAATTTTTCTCTGAAAAAAAAAAAAGTTGGTTGAATTTTTGCACATCCTTCCCCCTAGTTACAGATATCTTCCATTGAAAGTTGCCTGCGGAAAACAGGATTCCCTCCTGCTCTGCTTGGCAGGAGGCAGTGAAAACAGACCTGGCTTCTCAGACAATAGCTAGCAGGGTGTCCCACCCACTGGGAAAAGCTTCAGGATCCCTGGGAACTAGACAGAAGATGGGATGGGGAGAGAGTAGGTCAGACTCTTTGGAGCATTCTGGATCCAAGGGGGTAAATTCTTTTACAGAGTTTTGGAAGTAGAGGAAACCATTAATAATGTCCAGAGGGCAGCAGTAAATGGATCCAGGTGAGGAAGAAATTGACAGGCTAGCAGAACTGGAGTGCAGAGCTGGGCACAGATATTTTTAAATCTGGATACGGGAAAGGGAGGTTTTGAAGGTGTGAATTACTCGATCCATGATAAACTTTTCCTCCAGGCAGAGCCTATTTTTATTTACATGATACTCTCCGGCTACGGCGATGTTAAAAACCATGAGCGTGTTTCCAAATCTTGGCGTTCTGAACACTCATTTGGAAAAAAAAATAGGAGTTTTCCAAAGGGGTAAGAGATAACGTTCAATCAAATATGAACGAACTGAGAATTATGTGTCGCTTAGTTTGTTTCCACAAAGGAAATGGTCCTAAATATTTAGGAAACACTAAGGGAGGAGCATTTCGCTCTTGATAACGTTTCTATTTCTCTCCCCCATTAACAACCACGCAGCCCAGCGAGGGGACAGTTGTATTTGGACACAAACACAAACGAGAGAAGTGAGGGAACCATTGCGAGCGGGGACTGGCCGCCTCCAGAACAGGCTCCTCAGACCTGGGGGTCTAGGCCCGGGCCCTGTGCGCAATCCCTCACGGCTGGGCAGAGGCTGGCAAGGCACCGCTCTTCAATGCGGGGACCGCCTTTCCTGTGGCGGCTGCACTGCCCCAGACACACACGCTTGGTTTCTCAGCCCGCACCTTCTGGCCTCCTTCACCTCTTCGCCCATCGTGGGACGGTTGCCATTAAACCCCAGAAGGGACCAGGCCGAAATCAAGGCCGCGGTGGCTCCGGAGCAATCGGCGACTGGAAACTCCCGGGAGAAGGAGGCTTATTTGGCCCTTCGGGGGCTCAATGCCCTTTGGCCATTGTTGGGAGGAACAAAGAGGGCAGGAGCGGAGGGCGCCCCCACGAGGAAAGGCGGGGAAGGACACCTTAGGGCGCGATTTCGGCGGCGGGCGAGGCTGGCACCGGGACGGCTTGGGGAGAGCGGGCTGCGAGCCGCGGAGGCAGGGCCGGTCCCGCCCGCCGCGCCCCGCACGCGCTTCGCACGCCGTCTGGCGCCCGCCGCAGCCCTTTTCCTCCGTCGGGGCCGCTTTACTTCTCTCCCGTTTTTCCTTTTTATTAGCATTCTTATTATATATATTTTTTTCCCGCGCAAAGCGGGAAGTCGGGACTGGCCGAGCGGGCGGCGGAGGGGCCGCCATTTCCCGGGGACAGCGCGGCGCGCGGCGGCACCGGGCGCCCCGGAAAGGGAACCGGAGGGGAGTGCCCGGCCCCGAGCCCTCCTCCGCGCCGGCCGGGGGCTCGCGGGGCTCACCGCGCTCGCGGCGCCCGGCCCACTCCGCGGCAGCCCCCCGGCCTCGCCCCCGCCGCCCGCGTCCCCCGCCTGACCTTCCGCGGCGCGGCGCGGCCCGCCTCCGGCCCCCGGCCCCTTCCCTCCGCTCGGCGCCCCCGCGCCCCTTCCATTGTCAGCCTGGGGCGGCGGGCGCCCGGCCCCGCACCCCCGGAGGCCCCCGGGCGGCCCACCGCCCCGGAGCAGCCCCCCTCGGCGGCCGGGCGCCTCCCTCCTCCGCTCCGGCGCCCCGAACTCCGCATCCCGGGAGCCCTCCGCTCCCCGCCTGGCCGGCCTCGCCGCGGCCCGCTGCCGGACCCCGCATCCCGCCGCCGCCTCCCTCCTCGCCCGGGATGCCCCCCGCTTCTCGTCGGCCGCAGCAATTTTACCGCTTCTTTAGCACCCCCACCCCACCCCCGCCTTTATTTCCCGAGGAAGCAAGTTGGGCAGCTTGATTTATTAATTCTTCTCTCTTTCTTTTGCGGGGAGGGTCGGCTATCGGGGTGCGCCCGCAGGGTCCGGGCGGCGGGAGAGGCGGGGGTTCTCTCCGGCCCCTGCACTGCCCCCGCGGCGCGTTTTGTTTCCAGACCCCGGAGCCCCCCGAACAATAATGCCATCGCCATGGCGGGCTCACCTGGTGCTGCGCCGCCTGCTCCGGGCGCCCGGTGGCCTCGGCGCGCCGCTCCCGGGGCGCAGGTTCGGCCCGCGCGGCGCCGGTGCCGGGCAGGACTCTTTGCCTTTCTTTGGGTTCTATCGGTGCTTGTCAATGGCGGCAAGCGGCAGTTCTCCGGGCCGCGGATAGTAGCGGGGGGAGGAGGAGGAGGGAGAAGGGATTGCTCCTTCTCCACATAACCACCTCTAGGAGGAGTCGCTCAGCCTCATCCCCCGCCAGCCCAGGCTCCGCGACGGGTCCGGGGCTTTCGGTGGGGCTTGATGAGCTATTGTCCTTCAGGAGCATTAATGATGAAACCGCGCGGCCTCCGCGTCGCCGGCGGCTCTGCCGGATGCGCTGAGGGCCACTTGCTAAGATGAGGCTTTCCCCAGGGCTGGGGACCGAAGCACTACGGTCGCGATCCGGAGTCTCTCGTTTGCGGGAGCCACCTTTGGTGGAAGAAGACGGCGTGGGCGTTCATCGGGCAGTTCTGGGGAGAGCCCGAGAAGGGGAAAGCCAAAAAATGCCACCTTCGATGCTCTCCCTTGTCCTCAATAAGAACAAACACTGTACATTAACGTTCGTGTGTACCACTGGGGCTGTAGCACAGGATAGCCACAGCGACAAGAACTGAGAACGTGTATCCATGCCTGTTGGCTTTTTATAAATTAAGACCAATTTAGATTCCAGCGTTGCATAATATTTGGGGTAGCGGAAGTATATGTTTTGGTGGGTAAGGCTGTGTGCGTGGACATCATTTTTAATTCGGTTGCTTTCCAGTGTATTAATTTGTAATATCGCAGCAGGTATTAAGATTAGCACGAGGCTATTGTCTTAAGGACCAAATGTTATTAGTTTCTAGAAAATGCATTTTTATAGGGATGTGGTGGACAATATTAGTGGATAATGGATTGGTAGTTGGCTCTGTTCTTCGGTGAGCCAGGGCGGTCCTTTGTAACTGGAGATGTTGGTCAGGACTCCATGGTTGGGGGTGAGTCAAAGGAATGTGTTTATTTCAGGGAGAAATGTTCACTTGCTATGGGCCATCCATGCTTCCTCTGATGAGTCAAAGGATTTAAGAGGCAAAATTTTGACCTTTTCAAAAAAGAGAAACCCACAAGAAAACACAATTCTCCAGCGGTGGTCAAATGGATGCTTTTCAGAGCCTTCCCCCTTTGGTAATACTGTGTTTATTTGCCCCCGTAACCTTATAAGTGTTTAGGCAACGGGAAACATTGGGGTGACGGAGTGCCTCCACTTGCCTGCATGGTAAAGAACTCAAAGCAAAAATCCATGGCTCTCTGGATTTATACTAGGCAATCGGGGCTGTTGATGGGATTAGTAGATAGCGATTTAGACACTATGCATTTTTAAACAAGGGTTTTGCTGAGAAATCTACCGACTTCCCAAAAGATCACGCATGTGCCATAAAGGTATAAACAAATCTCCGTTTGTTTAAATCTCATATGGCTTCTCAAGCTCTCTGGAAACCATGGTCTCAGTTTATTGGGACTTGCTTACTCTTCTTCATACCCCGTTTACCCTCTCTATGTAGGATTCCACTGTTGTTTGTCTTTGAAGGTATTCTCCAGGTCAGAAATTTAGTCAGGATAAAGTCTTCTTTTCCCAAGTCATATATTCAGAGGGTTTCAAATGATCCCTTGGGGCATCTCAAACGGTTTCCATCTCCCCATTCTAGAGGAAGTGCCTATCTCCCTTCTTCTATAGATTTCTGGTGTCCATTCTTGATCAGAAATAACCTTCAGGCCAACATTTAGAAGGGTTCACGAGCCTCTGGGAGTGCTTGAAAAATACTCCTACTCTGTGACCCACTCAGCTAGGCTGACGGAGATAAAGTTGAATAATTCATCAATATATATTAGATTCACATTCTCCCTGTAACTTCGCAATAAAAATAGTGCACGTGGTCATTTTTATGTGCATTTTATGTAACTCATTTCATCCTAGCAGTTTATGTGCTATCCTGAGAAAAAGGCTGGTCTAAGAATTTACCAGGCAACATTCTCCCATTTCCTACTGGTTGTTTTCTTCCAATAGATGATGTTGTTGCCGCTCAGAGAGTCAAGGGGAATGTCAGCTTCATGAGGCTCTTGTTCTTTGAATAGAAGGGATCACAGGGTTCACCTGCCTTTATGTTATGGGAAGACATTTGATATTCAAGTGGGTGACGTGACTTGGTCAAGGCCATGTGGGTGAAACTCCAGCGCACGTGAAAATACCCAGCCTAAAGTAATTTCCCCCAACTCCAGACTGCTTAGGATGTAGAGGGACAGCTATGCAACCTAATATGCAGACCTAGTTAAGTTATATATGTTTATTATTAGATATTTGACACAGGCACAGAAATGTAACCCAGATAATATTGTGTAGTTAATATGCATTGAAAATAGTCAACATAATTATAAATTGATCGGCAAATGTGAGTTCTGCAGTGGCCTCTAGTTCAGGGAATCTCAGACAAGGCGAATAATAAATACTGATAATGAGAGTTTACACTTACTGAATGCGTCTGATGTGCACTGTGGTTTTTCCCTTTACTAATTCACTTGATCCTCACAAGAATTCTCTGGGTTGGACACTATTTCCTTCTCTGTACGGATAGAGATACTGAGGCAGAGAGTGGATGAGAAACTTGCCCACAGTTACGGAGTTAGGAAGTGGCGGATTCATGCTCTTAACCCCTGTGCTAATTTGTCGATAGGGATGCGTGCACCCATTTTAAGCAAAGAAATTTTGTGACTCGTCACAGGATGGAAAGTCCCTTGACCGTTCCCAATACGTATCCTCAAGGGGTCAGCGAAAATCCTCAGTGCGGGAGGTTTGCTTGATTACCACTGCACTGGAAACATTTTCTTAACCTTCGACCTGTAAGTGTGCATAACATTATGAATAAGTGGGTTGATAATGAGTTGACTCCATTAGCCGCAAGGATATCTGGCAAACATTTTATTGAGATGCAGAATGAACTGCTTCTCCATGTAGGGACAGGCATGTAGCATGCTTTAGAGATGAGAAAAAAAAAAAAAAAAAAAAAAAAAGCAGCCAGGCAACTAGATTCATATTCTCTTGAGTCTACGTGTCATTCATTCACAAAATCATCTATTTTAAAAACAGCTTCATTGATTTTGGCCCCCCAGGCCGTTTTATTTTCTCATGATCCCAATTTATGATGCTGTGTGAATTGAGTGGGTGTTTATTTTCCATAATTCGTTCTCATGTAGTTCATGACACCTATTATAATTTGTGATCATTTTACCCTTCTGAGATCTTGGTATGCAATTACCATATTAATTTCCTGACCCTCGCCTCTTCCAGAAGTCACGTAGGTATATATTTATATCTGACTGACGTGACTATATGTGTATAAGATTTATATATCCAGATTAATTTCATTTGAGAATTTCTGATCTCCTTTGAAGTAACTTGAGATTCCCTGGGAGTGTCATGGAAACAGATGGAAATCATTGGTTTAAGCTCTTCTTTGAATGTAAGTTAGGCAATTCTAGATGCCGTATTAATTCCATTAAGGCACCAACTGGCATAACTCTAAATAGCAAGTTGGAGGCCTGAGGTTTTGAGTGCAGACAGAGCGCCAGGCTGAAAAGCACCCCACTATCCCATGAAACAAATCCATCTTTTAAATGTACCCTCTAGCCTGAAAAATACTAGGCAATCTGATGTCAAATTTTTTTGTTAGCTAGAAATATGCAAAGTCTTCCCTGGTGCTATAGTTCGAACAGTGAACGTTTGATTCACATTTAATTAAACATTTGATTTCCTTGATCAAAACTGGTGGCTTTAGGATCTTAACTACTTATGAAAGGAAATGATGGCTTTAAAAAAACACATAGGCAATTCTTATGCCGGCAAAGCCTATTCTTAGCAGATCTGGTTAAATGAACATCTTCGTCTCCTAACAAAAGAGACATCTTAATAGTCCAGGTTTTTTTTTTTCTTTTTTTTTAAAACAACAACAAAATATGTCCTTTTGGATCCTAAGTCCTGGCCATTTGGTTTTGGGAAAGGGGATTTACATGACTGAGTATGTGTGAGTGTGTAGATGAATATCTATGTATCTACGTCTGTGTATGAATTTATAACTGTTTGGTGTGTCTCTTCCGCGTGTATGTGTTGTAGGATGGGTCGTGACAGAGACTGAAGTAGGCTCGGCGGAGGGTGATATTTGGATGTTAAAGGAGGCTACCTAATGTTTAGCACTTAACGAACCACACTGTAAAAGAAAATGTAATGTTTCGGGTTTTTAAGAGAAATACACTGTGAGCCCCAATTATGCAAAGTTGTAGTTAGGAAAATAAGGCATGAAGTGTCATTATTAGTGGAAACAGAACACGGAGCTAAGGGGAGTGTGCCAGTTAGTATCTTGCTCCGTTCAGTGCCAGAGCTCCCTGGGAGAGCGTCCCGTTCCCCGCAGGCAGAGCTCTTTGCCACAGTTGTGACAGAAAATGGCAGCACGCATCTGGAGAGATTGGACCTCAGCATCTGTGTTCGGAGATCGGAGCAACGTGGCCTCACCCCCGAACAAAATTGCTCTTTACAATTTAGACCCATTCTAGAGAATGGGGGCACGGATTTTCCAAATCCACAAAAGCAGAATACCATAGTAAAACTATAATTTATTTATACAAATGGTGTGTTTTTACAAAGGCCATCTGTCAGTTGACTCTCTGATCTAAAACAAATCTGTTTGTTCCCCAAAAGAAATAACATGTCTGTTGAAAAAGGATTTATGGACGACAGGCTGCCCAATCCACCAGCCATTGGTATAATAGGAACTATTTATGATATATTTACTTCTACAGGAGTGCTGTGAGTGGAAACTATTACTTGTAAAGTATGGTAATTAATTTTTCATTACCTCAAAGCCAAGAAATGGAGCCCAGTTGCATTTATTAAGATGACTGCATGAAAAACATGTTTCTTCTGGAAAAAAATCCGAATAAAAGCACTCAGAGAGCTTTGGCAATGTGGTAGCTCGCTGCTCTGATGGGTGGCGGTGGGGCCATGAGCTTTCACTCAAGCACCGGGTTCGTTTTTGGAGGACACGACGCCAAATCATTATTGAATGACCCTGGTCACTTGATCTGTAGGTACCACTGATAGCCCTTCCTGGAACTTAGATGTTACTAGTAACCCTAAGAGGAAACAGGGCTCGAGGCTGGGAGAGAGAAATGAGAGAGGAGAGATGGGCCCCCGTCCC